TTTAAAATTATCCTTTCTTTAAAATTTTTTAAAAATTTTAGTTGAAATATAGCTGACAGAATAGTAAATTAGTTTCAGGTGCACAACACAGTGATTTGACATCTATATACATTATGAAGTGCTTGCTGTGATACATGTCGTCACCACCTATCACACACAAAGTTACCACAATATTATTGACCATATTCTCTCTATGCTGTGTTTTTCATCCCCATGACTTACTTATTTTATAGCCGGAAGTTTCTACCTCTTAGTCCTCTTCACCTATTTCACCCACCCTCAGCCTCTCTCCCCTCTGTCAACCAAGTTTGTTCTCTGAATTTATGAGCGTTTCTTTGTTTTGTTATTTAGAGTCCACATATAAATGAAACCATGTGGTATTTGTCTTTCTCTGTCTTATAAAGAGAGGACACTTTTTAAAAATATTTTTATTTAAATTCAATTTAGTTCACATATAGTGTATTATTAGTTTCAGAGGTAGAATTTAGTGATTCATCAGTTGCATATAATACCCAGTGCTCATTACATCATGTGCCCTCCTTAATGCCCATCAGTTAGCCCCTACCCCTCTACCTCTCCTCTAGCAACTCTCAGTTTGTTTCCTATAGTTAAAGAATCTCTTATGATTGTCTCCCTCTCGTGTTCATCTTATTTTTCCTTCCCTTCCCCTGTGTTCGTCTGTTTTTATTTCTTAAATTCTACATATGAGTGAAATCATATGGTATTTGTCTTTCTCTGATTGACTGATTTCGCTCAGCATAATACACTCTAGTTCCATCCATGTCATTGCAAATGGCAAGATTTCATCCTTTTTGATGGCTGAGTAATATTCCTGTGTGTGTGTGTGTGTGTGTGTGTGTGTGTACACACAATCTTTTGGTGGACATCTGAACTCTTTCTATATTTTAGCTATTGTGAACATTGCTGCTATAAACATTGGGATGTATGTGCCCCTCTGAATCACTATGTTTGTACCCTTTGGGTAATACTTCTCTTAAAGACACACCTTAAAATTAATAAGCCAAGTATTTAACTTAGAATCAGAGAATATGGAAATTAAAATGAAGTATATTTTTTTAGTGAAACCTGCCTGTAATTAAGGGTTATCAGTTTTCTGTTGTTTAGAAGGAATTGGATAATATCTAAGTAGTAATAGTAAGTCAGATTTTAGACAAAGTTCAGAAAGAAAAGTGACAGCAAGAATCAAAAGTAGTTCTCAGCAGATGTGATGGTTTTTGCTGTCAGATTGTCCCCATTTTAATCTGTTCCACCTTCAAATGTTTTCACGCATAGTGTGTTGAAAGATTTGTCAAAAAAAAGAAAGATTTGTCAATGACAGTGTCTCTGATTTTATCATGTCAGTCTCTGAAGAATTAATATTTCTTTTATAGAAATTAAATCAAAATTATTTTGGACAACTTCTATTATGTATAAGTGAAATTTTCTATCAGAATTTTCAGAATTTACTACATTGCCGCCCAGCCAACTCTCAGTGTTTTTATAGAGTTCATTAAAGTCATTTACATTTTGTATTTTTAAATAAAAGTATGGTATAATCACCTTTTGGACGTAATAGACTAGAAGACATTAATGAGGAAAATCTTTCTTCTTTTATTATATAAGTTCATGAAAGCAATGATTTGATTCAACAAAACTTACTAAACCTTCAAATCTCTAGCTAAGAAGAAACATGATTTTCTTTAAATGCCAGTTCTTATAAATGTTGAGTTGGCTACAGAGAGACCTAGCCAAAAATAATTTTAAGTGACTGATACTGAAAAGAAACTTTTTTTTCTATTCAAAGTAATTATAAGTGACTGCCTGTATTCAGTAAAGTTTGACAAATGAATAAATAGTTTAATTATTTTTGAAATAACTGAGAACACTGTGTTTGGATTAGGACCCGAGTTCAAATCCCTACTCTGCCTCTTTTTAAGTTACTTAGTCTGTTTCCTCTTACTTGCGTATATCTTGCAGGCTTATTATGAGAATTAAACTAAATAATAAATTTATTCACTCATTGAATATTTTTTTTATTTTTTTTTAATTTTTATTTATTTATGATAGGCACACAGTGAGAGAGAGAGAGGCAGAGACACAGGCAGAGGGAGAAGCAGGCTCCATGCACCGGCAGCCTGACGTGGGATTCGATCCCGGGTCTCCAGGATCGCGCCCTGGGCCAAAGGCAGGCGCTAAAACGCTGCGCCACCCAGGGATCCCTCACTGAATATTTTTTGAATGCCACTTCTGTGCTAGGCATCATTCTAGGTACTCTGGATATCAGAGAACATGACAAAAATCCCTGTTCTTCATTTTAGTGGGAGAGACAAACACCCAAAATGCAAGCAAATAAAAACATATTTTTAAGTAGTGAGTGATAAATTCTATGAAGAAAAATAAAGCTTGGCACATCCAGGAAGTCGCTCCTGCTTTTTATTATAATTTTCAAAGTACAGCAGAAACCTTCTCTGTCTTGGTTTACCAATTAACATATTGCTCTGTCTGCTTTATCTGCCTATCCACATGTCTAGGGATGGTCTCTTGGTTTATTTTTACCCTCAAACCATTTGAAAATTAAGTTGCAGATAGAATTATAATTATAGAAATATGATAATACAATACAGTGATACAATCATAACAATTAGTCCCTGACTTCTTTAACAAACATCTCTTAAGAATTAGGATATTCTTCATGGTAGGGATTTAACTGACATTAGTTCTTTTTTTCCTCCAAAGCCTCACAGAGAAAGTAGTCATGGCTATCATAGCTAATCTGAAATGACAAAAGGATTTATAGTATTTTCATGTTATCTGAATATAGAAGGCCATATAAAGTTTCTTTGGGAAGATATCTGATACATATTTATAGGCTTCTAAATTGTATAATAGATACTTTGCAAGTGTATTTTTATTACCTTTCAAGTTTTTAATTCTTACAGACATAAAATATAGTACTAGTTTTCATTTGAGCACTGTGTAGAGTGCAAATGTACATTTGCTGAGGAATTATAACTGGAGTAACCAGTTATGTGCCATGCTGAATACTTTCACATGTTATCTCATTAGTCTTCATGGAAACTCTTCAAGAATGTAAAAATATAGAATAATTATCTCTTAATATCATAGAAGAAAAAGTAATAGTTAAGTAAAAAATGTTTACTTACTTGCAACTGGACTATGAAGTGGCAAAGCAAGGATTTGGATCCATATCTACTGGCTTCTGAAAACAAGTAATTTGGGGTGCCTGGGTGGCTCAGTCAGTTAAGTGTCTGACTCTCGATCTCAGCTCACATCTTGATCTCAGGGTCATGAGTTTAAGCCCTGTGTTGGGCTCCATGCCCACCATGGAGCCAACTTAAAAAACAAAACAAAAACAGTACTTAAAACAAAGAAAACTTAAAAATAAGCAATTTTTACTCCACCCTGTTGCATACAAGTGATTGAATTAGTCATCCACTACTTTAGAAGACTTCTTTCAGAGTAAATAGCTAAGTGTGTAAAGGGAGCTATTGATATATATTCCTTTTTTAAGACTTTTTTTAAGAGGCACCTGGGTGGCTCAGTTGGTTATGCATCTGCCTTCAGCCTGGGTCAGGTTAAGCGTCTGCCTTTGGCTTGGGTCATGACCCCAGGATCTTGGGATTGAGCCCCACATTGGGCTCCCTGCTCAGCAGGGAGCCTGCTTCTCCCTCTCCCTTTCCCTTTGCACCTCCTCCTGCTTGTGCGCTATCTCAAATAAATAAAATCTTTTTTTAAGGTGTATTTTAAAAAAAAGGAAAAAAAGAAACTTTTGAGCCACATTTGTGATACACCATGATGAAAATTTAGTTTTATATGGCAAGAATTGTAAACTCTTAATATTTAACATTCATTTTCTGCCCAGTATTGCAATGTAATGAGTATTATTATATCACTCCCTGCATATATCTGCCTTATTTGCTAAGTCATGTTCTTTAAGAGTGAGGGCTGTGTCTCCTACCTCAGTGGTTCCCAAACATGATTGCATATCACAGTCACCTCAGTTTCTGATTTAGCAGAGCTCGAATGGAGTCCCCGAATTTGCATGACTAACACATTCCCTGGTTATGTCAATGCCCTGGTTATGTGGTCTGGGGACCACACTTTGAGAACCACTATCTACCTCTTTGCCCTTCCTCCCACCACAGTCCTTGTCTTAGTGCTTATCACTTAGCTTACATGCCCTCTGATTTGGGAATCTTTCCTTGACTTCTGTTATATTGAAACTGTTAGTTGTTCTTAAATGTTAGTGTGTATAAGAATCATCCGGGAGACTTGTTGACAAAGCAGACTTCTGATTAGACCCCAAAACATTGATTTTTAGCAAGCACATTCAGTGTTAATGCAGATGATCCATGGATAGCAATTTGTGAAATATTGGCTTACAGAGTTGATCATGCACTCGTCATTGCCATAATTGTATATTGTATTTGCCTATGATTGTTTTTTATACCATAGTGCCATTTTTGGTTTGTACATCTCTCTCCGACCGTAGTCCCTGAAGGGAAAGGACTGTATCTTCCATCATTGTTATAACTTAGTACTTAGCCCAGTGGAGTGTTAAAAAGCAGTAGAGTAAGTACTGCCTGTGTAATCTAGCTATGTGACCTTGGAGGATTTAATCTCTCCTGTCCTCAGTTTCCCCTTTTATGCAATAGTAGTAGTAACATGTGATATGGAAATTAACTCTCAGTGTAGTAATTTACATACAGAATGTACCCACTAAATGGATACCATTACTTTTGCGGTGATGGTGGTTGTGTTACAGAAGAAACAAAATAAATGTTTGAGTTAATGAAAACTCCTAAATTGTGATTTTAGCATCCAAATTCAGGATATGTATTTAACACTTCATTAAAAATCTTTGCTTAATTGTCTAAAATATCATTTTCTATTTCAGTATTTTTTATTTATTTATTTATTCATTCATTCATTCATTCATTCATTCTATGATTGTGCCTTGGACTTTTTCTCTCCCACAGGAAAACAAAGAAACCGCTTGGAACCAATGGATACCATATTTGTTAAACAGGTTAAAGAAGGAGGACCTGCTTTTGAAGCTGGATTATGTACAGGTACTGATATTCCTCTTTAAACAATACCTCCAGATTTCTTTTTTCCTTTATTTCTTCTTTCTTCCATATTTCATTTTCCATATTTTTCATTATCTCCTTCTGTATGTTCTTTCCTGTATCTTCATGTCAGTTATTACTGTTTTTGGAACCTAGTTATCTGTATGTTTCTTGATACCCAAATAGATGGGTTTGGACACAAATAACTTAATATAAATTATTAATTAGGAGCACTTTTGGTTACCACTTAGATAACAGGCTCTTGGAGGCTTTCTTAAAAGTGCCTACATTTAATTTTGATAAGGATTACAAAATAGTAAAATGGTACAGATATGTATTGACAAAATTGAAATAATGTTGGATCTCTATGTTCTAGAACTACCTTATCTGCCAGAGATGAGTTGATTAATTATTGCACTACGAAGAGTAATTTAAGTCTCCAACGCAAGGATGTGACGGGGTAAACAGAGGAATAACTAGTAGTTCTGCAACTCAGAAAACAAATAATGGGCATAAATAGTGTAGCCAGGGTCACCTGGTGACTGTAGCTTTTGGAGTTTCTAAATTCATCCCTGACTAGAGCTTCTAAGACCTAAGCTATATTTCATCAGAAGCTGTATACATTAAAATTTAGATTCATGTTTGTGAAATATGCTTTAAAAAATAGGAGGAATATATCAAAAATAAGTACATTACTCAAGAAATATTTCAAAAGTAGTCAGAAATGATCTTTTATGGAATTCCTCATGTATTTTTTTTTTTTTTACTTCTCTTTGAAGGTGATCGAATTATAAAAGTCAATGGAGAAAGTGTTATTGGAAAGACCTACTCCCAAGTAATTGCTTTAATTCAAAACAGGTAAGATTCTCGAAATATGATTAATTTTGTCCAAAGATGGATGTTTATAAATAAGTGAAGCAAGTAGATTCAATATAGTATTGTCTATATTCTATAATGGGATGGGGAGATGTGGGACTTTGCCTTGGAGTGGATAATACATGTGAGAAGTGCCAAGGATGAATACCTGATGGTAGCTTACTTGGTGCTTTGCTTTGGCAAATATATCAGATTTGTGATTAAAGTCCTTAAGAATCTAAAAGGAACATATTTTAGATTTACTCTAAGTTTATCACTTTTATTTGAAATGACGATTAAATTTATAATTTGTAATAAAAATATAAATGCATATTAAAATTTACTTTAAAACCTCTTACCCCAATATCTTTAAATACTCTTGGCTCAAATTTATTCATTTGTTTTAGCAAAGACAGCAAGAAATTCTCTTTGAATCTGTCTGTCTACCTGCGTTCTACAGGATAAAAGAATTTTGAGTTCTAAAGGCAAATAAATATGTACAGAATAACCTGAGACCTCAAAGATAACTTAGTCCTGCTATTTTTCTGTCTACCACACACCTAGAAAGTTTTTCTAAATTATAAATAAAGAATTTGAAAGCCAAAGTGGTTAGCATATTGAATTCCTGTCAAGAGTAGGCCCTGATTGGGGTCCCATTGTCCAGATCATCCCTTTGTAATTAAAGTGAAGTTCATTATTTTCTGAAGACTTTTATCAAGCTCCTCTATGTCTAAAGCAGTTCATGCTGTAATCTAAGTTACATGAATGCTCAAAAGCATTGTCATTTTTACAGTTAGGTGATGTGATTGTGATTTATTGCTCTCTGAATATTTTTCTTACTGTTTTAATATTTAATTAAATTTAGGGAAAGCAAATCTTAAATCTTGCCTCTAATATTCGATTCTACGTGTTCCTGACAGTGATCCCTATTTGATCTTAAGTATTGGAGAGAACAGGGGATTGTGAAGAAATTTAAAGCCACTCTGAGGCAGTGGGGAGATCACCCCAATTTTTATTCTCTTAAATTAGTTCATCATAGATACAACATATTGGTGTTGGATTTTTTAGTATATTTGTTAACATCTTTTCTTGAAAAATACTTTTTCCAAGTAACCATAACTTAATCTTTGTTTTCCTCAAAATCCTCATTAATTTTTTTGTTACTGGTGCAGTTTATCTCTTGGAGTTAATAACACTTTGGAATGACAGTCTTGATTTTTCAGCCAATAAAGCAATTTGAAAAATAGAGAAATACTGTTTTTTCATGATCTTATTTTATTTTAAAAAAATTGTGTTCCTTTTGTCTGCAGTTGGTAGCAAATGGATAATGCAGCACAAAGCCATTGAGATTCTGCAGTGTATTAATGTAAAAATGTATCCTTGCAGAAGAATTTATCTAAACATCAGTATGTATTTTCTACCAACTCTAAATATTGAAATACAAGTACCTACATATTTGATTAATAAAATTTATTTGAACCTGTGGTTCTTATGGTTTACTATTCTGAGCATTTATGAACCTGATAATAAGGGTTCAAATCTAACAAAAAGTGACACCAGTAAACTATTAGGTTCTGTTTTCTTTTTTTTGTTGTTGTTGTCTGATTGTTTCTTAATCTCTTGATTGTATTGGGGGAAAAAAATCTGATATTGTTAGGTTAGATACTGAATTACTTGATGGGGGCATCCCACTATCGTTGCTTTTTCTAAATGTAATTCTAGATCACAAGACTGAGTATAATTTACCCCTTGGTGCTTTTTTAAACCTAGAGAAACTTCTCTATCTTTTAACAGGACATTTATAGTACCAAAATAAAGTGAGACTTGAAGCTGTTTAAGCTCTAAAATTAAGTAAGAGAAGAAAGCAAATAGTTGAAATGCTATGTGGTTTTAAAAAATGAGTCATTTTGATAGTTTTGAGGGTAAACTCTGATTTCCTTCACTTCTGAGGCCAAGAGGGAATATTTCAAAATTTAGATGTTTTATATGACTTAAAATGTTAAATTTGATGGCTCTTTGGTTAATTTCATGTGAATATATTTTTAACTTGATAAATAGTGAAAATATGTGGTAAAAATATATAATTTTTCTGTGATTTGAATTAAAATAATAAATAAATATATACTGAAGAATTCTGTTCCAGGAATATTTAAAATAAGTAATATATTTAATGTCCCTAAATTAGAAACACTTTATAAAGAAGACTCTTATGAATAGCTCAAACATATGGCAGGATCCCTTCTTTCCTTCATAATTAGCTTTATATATAAAAGTAACTGCTTTTTATTTTAATGATTTGGGTTTGATAAGTAAATAATTTTAAAAACAAAAATTAAACTCATAAGCAAATTTAAAAAATAATTCTGAGCTAACTATCTTTCTTTTATTTCTCTTTTATACACTTGCACCTCCCCTAACATAATTTTTATATATATTCAATTTCAGTGATACAACATTGGAACTTAGTGTTATGCCAAAAGATGAAGACATTCTCCAAGTGGTAAGTTTTATTTACTCAAATATGAATTGTTCTGTAGTCTCAAATGTTAATAAAAATTCTTTAAAGATGGAGGTGGACTGAATATAAATTCTGGGAAGGAAAAAAGTTCCCTTTGGTTCATTTAGCAGAGTCAGAATTCTCGGCATTTTACCAAAATAAATGAACAAACAAAAAACAAAAAAATATTGTCAGTTTTTATAGTTAAGTGACATAAGAATATTTTATTGATTCTATAGTGTACTTCTGTTGTTGCCATTTGGAATGAGATTCCTAAAGAGTTTGCTCTGATATTGCATCCGAGGTAGTCCTTTGACCAGAAGCCAAAGTTCAGTGTATAGCCCCAGGAATTAGAATCTTTTTTTTTTCTTATGAGAACAGAAATTTTATGAAAGCCATTTCTTAATTTTTCAATATGTATGACTGTAAATTAACCTACTACAGTTTTGGTAACAGTATCAATTCATTCTATTGGAAGTAAGGTTCACAATGAATGGAGTCTGCATCTTACGGGAGAAATATTGAAGACTTTAGCTTTTAGCCTAAATTTTTTCCTCAGTTTTAGAAAGAAAATGAATTGAATAGAATCCTTAACTCCTTTGTTGAACTTAAATATTGCTAGCAGTTTAAAAGAAGGTAACATATATAAATTTAATTCGAGAAAATACTTCTCTTCAATTGACTTTGTAGTTCCGTAGAATAAGACAGCATGAGGAAAACCTTTTAGGTAACACACTGAAAGCTGACCTTGATCTAAGAAATGGCAGTGGCTACTGACATTTGTGTTTTTTAAATTCTTTTTAGCAAATAACTGTGGTTATTGTTTTTTAATTCAAGTACAACATGGAATCTTTGTGGTGGGAATGGAAATGGCAAAGTCATGTTTTTTCATTTGTAAGGCATTAAGTCCTAAGTATTCTTCTGTAAACATTTTTTTACAGAAACCTCACTAAAACTGATCATAATGATTCTGTGTATTTGTGTAAAATATAATTAACTGAAATCCATGGGGATCTACCTTGTGTTTTCAAGGCATGTGGATTTTATTTAGGACTGGCTTTTTAGTGATAACAGATTAAGCACATGGTTCTTTTGGCATTGGGGAGTCTCAACAAGGAAGGTACAACTATGCAGGGTAGTTTTTCTAGGCATTGAGAGCTAGTTGTAGAGTACTTACCCTGATAATTTAGCAGAATGGCAGAGCAGCAGACAGAACTACTGAAGGCAATGGGACTCACCAAATTAGAAATAAATGAGGGAATCCACTATGGTGTTATAAAGGGCTAGGAGATGAGGCACAGATGTAGGGGAGGCTTTACCTGAATCCTCCTTGGCAATCCAATGACTCAAAGACAGAATGCACTTCCAAAACAGAACTATTTTCTCATCTTTAGTAGACTCTTTCCTTGCCAAGGTGAAGACACTGGTTGGATGCTGTTTCAAACAGTGCTCATTTCACAGCATGGCTGGCATTGTACTGAACTCCTAGGGCAGGAATCAAGCACAAAATTACCATCATACCCCGCTGTGTGGTTGATGAAGAGCAACAATGTGGAAGCAGCAGCACTGGGAGGAATAATTGTCTAATTTCATGATCAGTGGAAAAGAAGGTTAATTTGCTATATTTTACTTAAAATATATATATTTCAAACAAAGGCAAGATACAAAGTGTTGCACACACGGAAAAAATTGATTCACTTGAGTGGTATAAGCACACAGATCTTCAAAGTTCATTAGTAAAGGGTTCTAGTAAAATTGTAACAAAATTTGTTTTTCAGACATGTTATTTGAATTTTAATCTTAAGAGATTACAAGCATATGCCCTTAATGATAAAAGAAAATCTCACTTTTGGGATGCCTGAGTGGTTCAGTGGTTGAACGGCTGCCTTTGGCTCCGGGCGTGATCCCAGGGTCCTGGGAGAGAGTCCCACATTGGGCCCCCTACAGGGAGCTTGCGTCTCCCTCTGCCTATGTCTCTGCCTCTCTCTCTCTCTCTCTCTCTCTCTCTCTCTCTCTCTGTCTGTCTCATGAATAAATAAAATCTTTAAAAACAAAACAAAACACCTCACTTTTAAACCCAGCCTTGAACATACTATAATTCATGAGACAAATCAAAGGAGTGTATATAATTAATGCTTACTATGCTTTTTCCTAAAGGACATTAGGACTTAGCCGGGGCATCTGAGAATGTCATTTTTTAAAGCTATTATAAAATGCAAAGAGAATGTGGGATTTCAAAAAGCATATGCAGAAATTCTTCTCTCTAACAGATTCTGGGGTTAAAATGTTCCCTAATGGCCTTAAGTATTTATGTTGGTCTTAAGTCTGTTACCTACAGTATATGCTTTTAAAGATATATACTGTGAGGTTGAATATTCACTGTAAAGAAAAAGTAAACATGAACATTTTTACAGCCATTGTAAAAATTATTTACCCAAGTGAAAGCTTCTTGTAGCTTATGTATGTTAGCTGAGGCAACGGGGCGATTGTGTGTCAATGGGATTTTCTTTTCCTGAAGGGATGGATGCACCAAATTGCTCTAGAGGTGCTCAGCTCATCTTTGAGAGGCGGCATAGAAAATTTAATTTGGTTTAAAGTTTGACTCATGTATATAATACATGATAAGTATATAATAAATTTCTGATTATAGATGATAGCGTGTGATATTGAAAAACATGAAATAAAATGAAGACTAATTACTAGTTTTACTAAACTAGTACTGGTACTAGTGCTCCTGTACTTGGCAGCCTCATTTTCTGAACCATCATATATTTTCTACATTAATTTTCTACATTAACAATATGAATAGTATTACATTCATTTTTAGTTATTTTTGACAGTATTTTATAACAATATTTTAGACACTGATATCTTAGTTTTTGAGGGTATTATTAAAAATAAAAAACACTTTCTATTCCATTTTCAAAGAAACAAAATGGTTTTGTCACCATTTCAAATGTTGGCTATGCATGAATGAAACAGGCACCACCCATTACGTGGCCTAGAGAGTGATGCTGACTGAAGAAAACCCTTCCTGGAATGAGCTCAGGATAGGAGAACTAGACCTGGCCATTCTTTTCAGTGGATGCATCACGATATTTTGTTAAACAATTAGCTCAATTGACTCAACATCAAATTTTCGATTGATCAGTTCTGATAGTGTGGAGATTCTTGGGTGTGTCTGGTGTTTGAACAGGGCACTCTGAGCCTATTTGTGCTGTTCTGTATTAAACATAGCAAGGCTAAACAGCTTTTCTAGAATAACAGGGAAGAAAGCAATGATACTAGGACTTGACCCAAGGCAGGTATGAGACTAGAACCTGTACTTTCAACTAAACCACCATTCTTTACTGGCATTGGATGCAGATTAGGAATCAAGGGGCTTGAGCCCAGTCACGCTGTTGGTGTCAGAGCTGTTGTTCTAATTCATCTCTAGGCTCTGAGTCTAATGCCCTATTTGCCACTCTGTGACTATGTTATATAAATTGGGAAATGTAATTTAATCAAAGCTTTTCTTTAGACTTACTAGAATTACCTTGAAAATAAGTATTTAATATGTTCCATAATCAGTATAATATTGTATTTAAAATTAGGTGACCATTTGTCAAGTGTGCATGAAAGTGGTCCTGCCTAGAGTAGGGAAGCAAGACCAGAAATTCTGGAGGGTTCTTTCATATTTTGCCAGTTTGCATTTACTTTGTTCTTTTTCAAAATCAGTTTTTGAATAATAAGAATAGTTACATGATTGATAGAAAAGTTACAAATAATTTAGAAAGTTATAAAGTATGCATACCATCCCCTTTTCCCATGCCTCACTGTGGTATGTTTGATATGTATTTTATTATACAGACAAACATATAATTAATTTTTATTTGATCAAAAGTAATGGATTAAATTAATAGGTCAGCCTGTTAAAGGTGAAATGGTAGGGAGGAATTTCAATCTTACCAACTTATTTTGCAGGTTTTTTGGTAGGACTTTTTGTCTGTTTTTACCACTTATTAGATAATAAATATGCAATAGTAGTAGTAGTATAATGGTAATAGGTATGGTAATAGAGATTTTGATGCAACTCTACTCAAACTGAAGGGAAGATTATTTTAGGATTAAGTTACTGTTAGATACTGTACATAAAATCAGGATCCAGACTGTCAATATTAAATGTTATTTAATATGCTCTTTACAATTCTAATCCAAATGGAGTTTTTTTTTTTTTTTTTTTTTTTTAAGGGAGGGAGAGAGTATGAGTGGGGCTGGGGGAGCAGGGCAGAAGGAGAGAGAGAATCTCAAGCAGACCCTGTGTTGAGCATGGAGCCCATCTCGTGACTCTGAGATCCCAACCCACACCAAGAGTCTGTTGTCTAAGTGACTGTACCACCCAGGTGCCCTCAGAATGAGGAACTTTTAAATAGATAAACAAGCTTTTTTAGTGTTCATGAACTCTGAGAATGTGTAAGGAAATTCAGTACTGCTCTTGAATGAATTCATATTTTATTCATCTCAATTATATCTGCTTACATTAGGCAGTAGTACTGTCTGTGCAGGATATTCTATTTAGTGAATCTGCTGTTAATGCATGGTCCATGTGCATGTATGTGAGGACCCATTTGGCATAACTTTACCCAGAAGTGGAGACCCATGAAAGTAAGCTATTTAGTATTTAGAGTTGTTACATAAGAATCTTAGAGATGTTTGAAGTGTGTCAGATATTTTTTCGTTTTTCATAGTTCCTGTCATATAGTTTTATTGTCCTCAAATTTGAATAAAGGAGGTGTCTGTAAATTATTAGTTCTAGGATGGTACTTTCCAGCAGAAATTCTAGTTGTATTAAAACCCCTTCAGAAAAAAAAAGTTCTGTGCCTGAATAAGCTTCTCCTTTCCCTTTGAGTTTTACAATGTAATGTAGTAGAGGTTTTGAGAAGTCAAACCTACTAGTCAGTCCTGCACCACATCATTGAGAATAGAGAATACTCTGTCCCCCCTCCCTTTCAGGTGATACTTCATAAAATTGTATAAGCATACTGTGGGAAATACTGTACCAAAGTGTTCACTCATCCAGACACAGTCTTTCTACCGTGGAAAAGGATTGGTGTGAATATAATCAGCATCAAAAAGATAGTCTTGTTATGTCAGTGGCATACAACCCAACATGTATATTTTGATTGACTGTATTCATGCCCTAAAAATATTATGGCATGCATGTTTTCTCTTATCTACTCAGCTTTTCCACTGCATTCTGGTTTATGTTCCATAATATTCAGTATCAGTTTTAAAAGAATTCCTCTGGAAGTAATATTTTTATGTCCATTCAGTAATAATTTTCTTAAACTAGCAAAACAGGACAAAAGGTACAGTGGTGAGAGATCTTGATTTTTGAGTTAAACACATTTAATCCAACAATCATTCTTTCTTTCCAAATCATAGTGTAAAGACAGCTGCAGTCAGCTGACAGCTTGTGGTTGTGCTCTGATTTACAGGGTAAGGAGGAGGTTGTACTATTTTAAATGCATAATAGAGCATCCGTTTCGTCATCTGGAAGCAGAGATGGAAGAAGCTCAGGGGAAATGAGAGACATCAATGTTGCTCTTGTGGAAGGGAAGCTTTGTGGCACAGTATCAGACAGCAGTGCCTATTGAAGGAAATAGCTGTTAGGAATGCCTGTCACCAGATGTATTTTGCTTTCAGAAATGGTAGACAACCCAAATAAGAGCCAGATAAAAGCCTGAGAAAAAGATGCTCAGAAGGATACTGAAGTTATTCTTTATGCTTCACTGCCCTTTACTTCTCTTGGTACCTTCCAGAGAAATCAGTATAGATGTATTTTTAGCTTGCTGTTTCCAGCATCAATATGACAACATGATTCTGTCTTTATATCAGTAAGCAGCTTCTACTATGTTTTCCTATTTTCTGCTAGCTACAGTTTACAAAGGATGTCACAGCTCTGGTAAGAAATGCACAGAAGCCATTTCCTTGCTTTTTTTTTTTAAGTTATGTTTTATAGAGATATGTAATAAGCCAACCTATTAAAACTGTAAGTTTGCTTAGAGAAACCCCTCCGTAGTGTTATGTTAATCTTACTAATTTGCAGAATGTGTTTGTGATACCTGATTTTCTTTATTTTTTGTTTTCATGTTTGGTTTTCTTTTGAATCCTGTGCATAACTGATGTTAAAACATAACATTTACCTGTTTGTGGATTTTTTTTTTTTAAAGTCTCTCACCCTCTCTCTTTCCCTGGTACTTTGCTGTTATGTTTGTGGCTGCACTTGAGCTTTGCAAGCTATCTAATGCAAAGACAGGATGTGATGATAGATGTGAATTAAGCTTGTTTTGATTAGGAGAGGATATGTAACACGATGCCACACCTCACTATCTCAGATGTGACCTAGTCCTCAGTTGCATCAATTAGTTTTGTTTTATTGCATCTCTGCCTTTAATTTCAGTTATTTTGAAGTTTTGAAATACATTGCTGGATAACTTCATAAATAATGCATAAAAGATCATTTGAACTGCATGCCTGCCTGTTAGTAATAGAGAAATGTTTCATTATAGTAAGTAAAAGAGACCAAATAAATTCGTTCGATATAATTTTGCATTAGCTTAAAACAAAAAAATTATGTACAGGAAGATAAATTCCTTTGTTTCATATTTTTGTATCTTTAATTTACATGCTCAATTTAAACATACATATTTTCTCTTTTAAATATTAAAATATTTAGCATGGCTTAGGATTTAATTTAATCAGAATGGATTATTTTTAAGGACTCAGTAAGCATTAATTGGCAAGACACTGCTCAATATGTTATAATTAATTTGTCCTGACAGTAGTGCTCAGAGTGAAAATGTATTTGGTTAAGATTTTTAATATCTTCGCCTTCACTCTGGCAAAAGATCAAAATCTTCTTTTGCTGAGCTTTATCAGGCAGCCATTTAACCTGTCAAATGCTGAAAGATCATAAAACTTGAATGGGGAAGATTTTAGAAGCAACAAGGCTTATCTCTATTTGGTTGGGGGAAAAACTGGTGTGTTTTAATCTTTTGAGAAAACAGGCAGTTGTAATTTATATTTGTTGCAAATTCTATAATTTATTTGATTCCTGAAAGACTAGCCCTTTTCTAAGTGTGTGGAGCATCCTTATGTTTTGTTTGCATGCTTGCTTTAGTGAATGTCATTTAGGAATAAGATAGGGCACAGTAAAGTAAAACAGTCCATTGCAAGAATGGAAATTGTTGTCTTATAAATCTTAAATGACACTTTTTTCCTCCTTTCCATGTAGGCATATTCGCAAGATGCCTACCTGAAAGGCAATGAAGCCTACAGTGGTAATGCCCGCAATATCCCCGAACCTCCACCAATTTGCTATCCCTGGCTGCCGTCTGCCCCTTCAGCCATGGCACAGCCAGTTGAAATATCTCCTCCAGATTCATCATCGAACAAACAGCAAACCAGTACACCAGTACTGACACAACCTGGCAGGGCCTACAGAATGGAAATACAAGTGCCTCCATCACCAACAGATGTTGTAAAATCGAACACAGCAGTGTGTGTTTGCAATGAAAGTGTAAGGACTGTCATTGTACCTTCTGAGAAGGTTGTAGATTTGTTAACTAATAGAAACAACCATACAGTTCCTTCACATAGAACCGAAGAGGTGAGGTATGGCCTAAATGAGCAGACCTCTTTGAAAACAGTGTCAAGGACCACATCACCATCATCATCAATTCCCACTGCCCATCTAATTCATCAGACTGCAGGCTCCAGGTCATTGGAATCTTCGGGAATGTTACTTAAATCCACCAATTACAGTGGACATTCGGAAGGAATCTCAAGCAGTAGACCTCAAGCTGTGGATTCCCCTTCTGTATCTGTTAATCACTATTCTCCGAATTCCCATCAGCACATAGACTGGAAAAACTATAAAACTTACAAAGAGTATATTGATAACAGACGATTGCACATAGGTTGTAGGACAATTCAAGAAAGGCTAGATAGTTTACGAGCAGCGTCTCAGAGCACAACAGATTATAACCAGGTGGTACCAAACCGCAGTACTTTGCAGGTACGACGTCGAAGCACCTCTCACGATCGAGTGCCCCAGTCTGTTCAGATCCGGCAGCGCAGTGTGTCCCAGGAAAGGCTGGAGGATTCTGTGCTAATGAAGTATTGTCCACGAAGTGCATCTCAAGGGGCACTGGCATCTTCATCTGTTAGTTTTAGCAATCACAGAACTCGTTCGTGGGATTATATCGAGGGACAGGGTGAACCCATAGAAAATGTCAATTCTGAAAGTCAGATACCTGATTCGAATGGAGAACGGAAGCAGACTTACAAGTGGAGTGGATTTACAGAACAGGATGACAGGCGAGGGATTTATGAAAGACCCAGGCAGCAAGAAATTCACAAGTCTTTTCGAGGTTCAAGTTTTACCGTGGCTCCGAGCATTAATTCTGACAATAGGCGAGTGACCGGCAGAGGAGTGGGATCTGTGTCTCAGTTTAAGAAAGTGCCACCAGATCTGAAAACACTACAGCCCAACAGAAGTTTTCAGACTACTTGTGGAATGTCACTGCCTCGAGGGGTTTCACAAGACAGGTCACCTCTTGTGAAAGTCCGGAGTAATTCCCTGAAAGCGCCTTCTCCGCATGTCACAAAACCATCCTTCAGCCAGAACTCACTTGTTTCTGTCAAAGACCAAAGACCAGTAAATCACTTGCATCAGAACAGTCTGTTGAATCAGCAGACATGGCTTAGAACCGAAAGTGCCCCCGATCACCAGGTGGAGCCTGGGAAAGCGCCCTCTTCTTCTGGAACTTCTGGGAAGCCGGTCCCTCAGACCAGTGAGAACTCAGGCGCTTCGGATCTTGAAGTCTCGGTCCCTCAAAGAAATCAAGATCTAAATTTACGAGAGGCCGAAATTCAGGAGGCAGATACTTTAGATAATAGAGAAACTGTCGTCCTAAGAGAAAAACCCCCATCGGGTCGCCAGACACCACAGCCTTTACGGCATCAGTCTTACATCTTGGCAGTAAATGACCAGGAGACCGGGTCAGACACGACCTGTTGGCTGCCTAATGATGCACGCCGAGAGGTCCATATAAAAAGAATGGAGGAAAGGAAGGCCTCAAGTACCAGCCCGCCTGGGGATTCGCTGGCATCCATCCCATTCATAGGTAAGCTCCCCTTTAACTCAGTGGCTGCCGCGTCAAATGCTTTACACATCTTTTCAGCAAGGTATTAGTTCTAGTGCAGCGGGCACAAAAACGTTAGCTGTGATTTTGAAACATTTGTCCTCAATTTCCTGAGCTATGCTGAAACCGGAGCCATAGGCTTTTACCCGCAAAAATTATTTCAAGTGACAGTTTTCCTTCTTTTCTTTTTTCTTTTCTTTTTCTTTTTTCTTTTTTCTCTTTTCTTTTTTCTTCTCTTCTCTTCTCTTTTCTTCTTTCTTTCTTTCTTTCTCCTTCCTTCCTTCCTTCCTTCCTTCCTTCCTTCCTTCCTTCCTTCCTTCCTTCCTTCCATGAAACGAATTCCCACTGTCTGGGGTCAAGGGACTCATCAGCAAACCAAATTGCACCTAGTTGATGATGCATCTGAATCAAAAGCCAAGTAGAACAGTTTTCATAATTAATAATCAGCCTTTCATTTAAGCAGTGCTTTTTACTTTTATTATTTCTTATTTCTTTGGGCTGAATGAAGAGACCCCTTCGTTGTCAAATTACTTTGTTTTAGAGTAGATCTTGGGATAGAGTTGGAAAAATTACTTAAAAGACAAGCACGTGCCCCAGTGTACAACAGCGAGCTACTGTGTTGGTTTAGGCTTTAGTCTGCCCCCACACGTCCTAGGGGTATTGTCCACAATGTAGCCAGAGTGGTTATTTAAAAATGCAGATCAGGTCATGCCACTCCTCTGACCAGAACCTCTGTTTACTTTCCTTGTAACCCAGAATAGAATCCCAAATCCTGCTGTGACCTACAGGGCCCTCTGTGATAGACTCCACAAGGCCACTCCACCTCTCTTCCTCCAGGTACTTGCATCCCATCTTCAGCTGCCCTAGCCTCCTTGCACTTCTGGAGTATGCCAGGCATGCTTCAGGGCCCTGGCACTGCCAGTTCACAGCCCCAGGACACATTCCACAGAGAGTCACAAGATTCTCCCTCACTACGTTTGGGTCTGTGCTCAAGTATTACCTTATCAAAACAGCCTTTCCTCACCAACCTATCTGAAGTAGGTACCCTACACACATATACAGAACCTGACATTCTCTGTACCCTTAAGCTACTTTATCTTCATACCACTTGTTTCCACTTGACCTGTTTTATATATGTTTTTTAATACATGTTTCTCTGCAGAGCTAAAATATAAGCTATGCCAGAGCCAGGCTTTTTGATCTTTTTGTCCACTTCTGTAGCCTTAATAACCTAGAACACTGCCTGGCATATAGAAGGCACTCAGTAAATATTGGTTGAAATAATAGACTAATGATAATTTCTGAGATGATGGTTAAATGTATTCAAAATAAAAAAATTATAGTTATTGTGCAGCTCTAACACATAATCTAACAGGATTATCCTATATGTCCTTAGTATTACCTTCATTTAATAATGAGAAGTTTAAGCTATTGAAAGGCTAAATAACTTCCCTAAAGTGACACTTGGCAGGTTGAGTCAGCCTCCTTACAGAGCACAGCTCCAGAGGGCACCATTTATTATTGATTTATTATGAAGAGCGCCCCTTGGAGCTGTGTGATGCAGGGGCCTTCTTTGGAAGCCAAGGCCGGACTCATACTTGCGCCATTACTCCCAAAAACTCATGAATAGTGCTCTATAATTTTATAGGATAATGTGCTTCTTTTTGAGCAATATTTTGGGGTTTTTCTTACCTAGGGAAATTTTTTAAATCTCAAGCTATTGAATTGTCAGGCAACACTATCAGAGCCAGCTTTTGAGAAAGTTCTATGTGACTTATATTTTTTATAAATATGATGTATTCAAGTTGTAAGCACTGTGGGTAATCTCAACCTAAATTTTACTCATTTATATCTATACCCTTAAATCCAAGTTCAGAGAATAGAACTTTGCCATAAGTGAAATCTTATACATCATCTAGATATTTAAAGAAAGTAACTGAGGACTAGTGATTGTTTTATGATTTTTTATAAATGTCCCTACAACCTGTAACTGTATTTGATAAGCCCATGAGATCTTACCAGAATAATGGCATCATATTTTCTTCCTACTTAATAAGGACAACATAACCAGATTATATTGGAGTAATTAAAAATGTGCTAGCTATATCTGTTAATTTTTTCATAATTATCTACTAATCCTTTGAATAGATCAACAAGTCGATTATTACTAAAGAGAGAACATCAGCTAAGCTATAAAATAAAAATCTATTTAATTCTATACACATATAGATACATTCAAAATAAAAATGCTCACTAGTTCTGATCAGATTCTACTTTAAGTACTTCATAGTACAATATTATATATACCTCCTAAAACTTTAATATATAGAATTTAATTACTGTAGTATGCCAGTTATACCTTAACCAGTGGAATAGGGCAGGATAAAAAAGCTGAAATACAAACACAGAATTTATTTCACTATGTGAAAACTCTTAAAAGTTTCTAGGCCCTCATGTGGAATAATGCTATGCCTCCTGAGTTTTTACAGCATTTTAATGACTCATAAGATTGTATGCCATTTGAAATAAAGGCATGGAAAGAATTTTAGTATTTACCTAAGTTTTAGAAAACAGTATCAAAAAAAGTGTGATTTCTTTGGCTTAATTATAGTTTCCTTTTTACTGTGAAAACCTTTTAGGTCTTCGATTAACTAAAATCCTTTATTCTTGAAGTCCAAAAAATACTTATTAGAGACTATGTTGTTGAATAGGTAAAGAGCCAATCAATAAAAGAACTTTTAGATTTCATTCAGTATAAGTTCCATAATTTAATAAATCTTGAAATCCTTTTATTTTTATTTTATTTTTTTAAATTTATTTATGATAGTCACAGAGGGAGGGAGAGAGAGAGAGAGAGAGAGAGAGAGAGAGAGAGAGAGAGAGGCAGAGACACAGGCAGAGGGAGAAGCAGGCTCCATGCACCGGGAGCCCGACGTGGGATTCGATCCCGGGTCTCCAGGATCGCGCCCTGGGCCAAAGGCAGGTGCCAAACCGCTGCACCACCCAGGGATCCCTCCTTTTATTATTGAGCTTTAAAGTGTTACCTGACCCATAGGTATTTCTCTTTCCAATCTGTTTTTTGGTCATTATTATATATACATATAATAATTTAACTTCTATAAATATAAAAATAGAATAGACATCAGCATTGAAATGGAGTAAAAGAGACTGTTTGCAACGTTTCCCAGTGTATTTTCTGGGAACATGAATTCCATTTGATTAAGGAGAAAAAAAAATCAGTGATCAAATTGAGAAGTGCTGGATTTAAATAATTAAACAAGTTTTGTTTGTCTTTACTATGGGACTCTTAGAATCATTAACATACTACTATATATATTTTTCTAGGTATATTTTCTTTCTTTTTTAAAAAATTCTATTTATTTGACAGAGAGAGTGTGTGAGTGAGCACACACACAAACAGGGAAGTGGCAAGCAGAGGGAGAGGGAGAAGCAGGCTCCTTGCTAAGCAGGGAGCTCGTTGTGGGCCTCGATACCAGGACCCTGGATCATGACCTGAGCCAAAGGCAGATGCCCAACAAACTAAGCCACCCAGGTACCCCTCTAGGTATATTTTCTAATACGATTTTTCTCAGAAGTATTTGACCATGAATCCTTTCATTTAGAGTATCTTTGTTTAACATATTATAAAACACACTTCAGAGAGTATACTTTATGCTCTCTCATGGAACACTTAAAAGGAAAGAAAATAAGGCTTGCTTTTGCATTATCACACTCCAGAATCTTATATTCTGTAATTTTAATCATTACTTTTTGTCATTTGAAAACATTATAGATTAGTGCAGAAAAAAAAAATTAAGTGCCTTTGCTTTATTCCCCAAATACCAGAGAATGGAGCCAATTCATTTATTTAGTTATTTATAATAAGAGCAAATGGTATGTCTTACAGCAAGAAAATTTTCAAACACTTTGTTACACATTTAATATCTAATATTTCTTTTGGTTCACAAAGATTTAGAGAAATGAAGAAAATAAACCATTTTGTTTTTAAATAAGGAATATCAGTCATTGACAGTGTTTTGTTTACCGCCTACATGCAGTTTATAAAGCTTGGTAGTAAGTACTGAAAATAAATTTTTACTTCTTTTATAAGAAATACAAAATGAATAATGAGTTTATAATTAATTTGACATTTAGTAGCAGGATTTCAGATATATCCTACAATCTACACTTCATACATTTCTTTATATGACTCATAATTATCAATATAAAGAAACTATAGCTGAATTAACCCACACTCAGATTTCATTTCAAATGCATTTGCCTCTCTTTTTCCTGCCATATTTCTAATACTCCTTGTTCTCACCCCAAAGTTGGACCATATGCATGTACTTAGTGTTAGCAAAGATAGAATTCATTTGGTACAGCCTTACTGGTCCTGCCATTTTAAACCAACTTAGAGGTTTTAAAGCTTGTGAGACATATAGCTAAATTGCAGTGTCTGAAATTTACCCAAAAGAACGGGAGTGGGCAACTGCCACCCTTCACCCAACTTCTCTCTCTGGGGGCTCTAGTCTCCTGATGCCAGCAGTGATATTATAGGGGCTGCACGGAGCACCCAGTGCCTCTTTATACTAAACATACTGAGTCTTTCTACAAAACAACTAATCTATAAAGACAAAAATTATACTCATCATCTTAACAGTCTTTTTCCTATATCTGCATTCCCACAAGATGTGACTCCATTGGCGCTTCAGCTTAGAGATTATTGCTTCTATTGAGTAATGATGTGGAGTTCATTTTTAATATAACAACCACAACAAAATCCACAAATTTCTGTAGTAATTTATAACCTACCAAGTATTTCATGTACTAATCCTATGACAAACTGGGAGAATTTAGGTGAGAAGTAAATAAGCCACTTTATGGATAAGGAAAGTTAAGTCGTTTGCTCATGGTCTCTCAGCAGGTAACTGACAGAATTGATTATCTATTGGCTCCAAATCTCATATTCTTTGGACAAT